AAAAATGATGGACACAATAAGGGACAGAAATGGTACGGACCTAACAGAAGCAGAAAATATTAAGAAGAGTGGCAAGAATACACAGAAGAACTATACAAAACAGATCTTCATAACCCAGATGACCACCATGGTGTGATCACTCACCTAGAGTCAGACATCCTGGAATGAGAAGTCAAGTGGGCCTTAGGAAGCATCACTACGAACAAAGCTAGTGGAGGTGATGGAATTCCATCTGAGCTATTTCAAGTCCTAAAAGATGATGCTGTTAAAGCACTGCACTCAATATGCCAGCAAATTTGGAAAACTCAACAGTCATCACAGGACTGGAAAAGATCAGTTTTCATGCCAATCCCAAAGAAAGGCAATGCCACAGAATGTTCAAACTACCGCACAATTGCACTCATCTCACACGTTAGCAAAGTTATGCTTAAAATTCTCCAATCAAGACTTCAGTAGTATGTGAACCGTGGACTTTCGGGTGTTCAAGCTGAATTTAGAAAAGGCCGAGGAACCAGAGATCAAATTGCCAACACCTGTTGGCTCACAGAAAAAGCAAGAGAGTTCCAGAAAAATATCTATTTCTGCTTTATTGACTATGCCAAAGACTTTCACTGTGTGGATCACAATAAACTGTGGAAAATTCTGAAAGAGATGGGAATACAGGTCAGACCACCTGACCTGTCTCTTGAGAAACCTGTATGCAGGTCAGGAAGCAACAGTTAGAACTGGACATGGAACAACAGACTGGTTCCAAATAGGAAAAGGAGTACGTCAAGGCTGTATATTGTCACCCTGCTTATTTAACTTATATGCAGAGTACATCATGAGAAACGCTGGGCTGGAAGAAGCACAAGCTGGAATCAAGATTGCCGGGAGAAATATCAATAACCTCAGATATGCAGATGACACCACCCTTATGGCAGAAAGTGAAGAAGAACTAAAGAGCCTCTTGATGAAAGTGAAAGAGGAGAGTGAAAAAGCTGGCTTAAAACTCAACATTCAAAAAACTAAGATCATGGCATCTGGTCGCATCACTTCATGGCACATAGATGGGAAAATAGTGGAAACAGTGTCAGACTTTATTTTGGGGGTCTCCAAAATCACTGCAGATGGTGATTGCAATCATGAAATTAAAAGACACTTGCTCCTTGGAAGAAAAGCTATGACCAACCTAGATATCATATTAAAAAGCAGAAACATTACTTTGCCAACAAAGGTTCATCTAGTCAAAGCTATGGTTTTTCCAGTAGTCATGTATGGATGTGAGAATTGGACTATAAAGAAGGCTGAGTGCCAAAGAATTGATGCTTTTGAAGTGTGGTGTTGGAGAAGACTCTTGGGAGTCCCTTGGACTGCACGATCAAATCAGTCCATCCTAAAGGGAATCAGTGGTGAATATTCATTGCAAGGACTGAAGCTGAAGCTGAAACTCCAATACTTTGGCCACCTGATGTGAAGAACCAACTCGTTGGAAAAGACCCTGATGCTGGGAAAGATTGAAGGCAGGAGGAGAAGGGGACAACAGAGGATGAGATGGTTGGATGACATCACTGACTCGATGGACCTGAGTCTTAGCAACCTCCAGGAGTTGGTGATGGACAGGAAAGCCTGGAATGCTGCAGTCCATGGGGTCACAAAGGGTCAGACATGACTGAGCAACTGAGCAACTGAACTGTGGAGTCAACATGGAAGTATATAGAAAGTCATGCATGAAAAGTAAAAACTAAGTAATATGTGCATATTAATTATAACTATGGAAAATATATTTATGCTCATGAAGAGTTCTAAAATTTATTTGATCATTTTTCCTTGTAAATTTGCCTTTACTTATAACGTTTTAGTTGCCAATAAGAAAGCCACTTACCAAATTCTCCTCAATCCTTTCCTGAAAACTTAAATAAAATTTTCTTTATTATGTACACCCTAAATGTAGAGAGGAAGGAGAACCATCTTCGAGAGAGACAATGTGCTCTGAGCTTTATTTATGTCAACTCATTCAATCCTTTCTTCGGGTCTATGATTAAAACAAAAAATCCCTACGGGAAATAGGAAACTAAATTATAGAAAGAATACCCCATATATGCCAAAAAGAGGAGTCTGATGGATTCTGAAGGCTACCTTCCTCACCAGCCTATTTTTCTTTTAGAAGATTAATAAACAATGTACCAGTTCTACTTTTCAAAGTTCTTTGCATGGCTAACAAGCCGCTGCATCTTAACTGATTGCCTTTGGGCTTTCATGGTGGCTCAGATGGTGAAGAATCTGCCTGCAATACAGGAGACCCGGGTTTGATCCCTGGGGGAGGAAATGGCAATCCACTTCAGTATTCTTGCCTGGAGAATCCCTTAGACAAAGGAGCTTGGTGGGCTACAGTCCATGGGGTCACAAAGAGTCGGACACGACCAAGGGACGAACACTTTCACTTTCACTTTGGGTATGTCTCTGTTTCTTCTTCTGTAAATTAAAGTGGCTGTCCAGGGGGTTTGTTAAGCAGGTCTGAGATGCTATGCTTCTGTGGTTTGCAGTGTTTTTTTATTCTGAGCTGTCAAAAAGTATCCGTCTCTGAAACAACCACCATTACACCAACAAAACAAATTTAATAATCCCCTGAGAAAATCCACTGTTCCAAATCGCTTGGAGGTGGATCTATGGACAATTAAATGAATATAGGCATTTAAAATACCTTAATTCCTCTTAACATAGATGGCATACTTACTTGACTTCTCTTAGCTGGTGCTTATGTATGCACCAGCTTATTATGCAAAAGCAAAATAAACATGTAGAAAAATAAGGCCAACAGCTAATGTACTGTTTCATTTTCAAATTATATGTTTGATACTATACATCTGGCTCATTTGAAATGAATATTAGTTTACTTCAGAGTACTTCATTAGAGATAATTTTGAAGGATTCAGAAAGTAAGTTTATGCATAGATCCTTGGAAGCCCCATTTAATCCAGCAGGATTTGCTGAACACTTTTTATGAACTCACTCCCTACCACCTTCACACAGCTTGCTATAGGTCTGTAGTTTGCAAACCAGCTATACTATAATTGATTTAATATTTTTAGTTAACATTGACTTGGAATTTTAACCAAAATAAATTTACTTTGAAAGAAAACTTGACAAATATAGATCATTTATCATAGTTGTAAACTAAAGATAGCAATAAAATACATCAGTATTTTTTTTTATGCTCAAGTACTACCCAAAGTTACATCAGACTCCACCAGTGATGTGCCTACATTATCATGCCATAATTCTGGGAGCAAATTTCCTCCAACATGGGCTAACTGAATTAGCCCTCACCACAACGCCTCTGCAACTCGCTCCTGTTAGCTAAGTACTCTAAAATTCAGAATTTAGACTATAAAATTTAGGGTTACTCAGACAAGTAAAAAAATTTACATCTCCCAGGGATTACCACCTTCTAGAAGGATGAAAATCAAAAGTAGAAAGTGTAATGTAATGTATTTTGGTTAGAATCTTACCTGCCCCTCACCTTCTCTGCATACCGCCATCCCAAGCCACTTAATATCTCCATGATCTTGAGCAACTTATAGAACTTCTCTCAGCTAATTTCCTTATTGACCAAATGGAAATAATAATATATCCTTCCTCACAGGTTTGTTGTGGGACTTTAATGAGATAATGTAAAGTGCTTAATATAGTGCCTAGTGCAAAGGGTGAACTTCACAAACAATAGCTGATATTATTATTACATAACAGTTTCCAACAGAGAGGAACTTTGGCCCTACCCCTAAGATTCAAAACATTCTGCAGACTACAGGTGGAAGTTAACACCATTGTGCTGTTTAGCAAATGTTTGTATACAATCAGCTTTGTCATTTATCAAGATACTACTTTATTTCCTGACAAAGAAGTGATGTGATTAATAGAAATGACTCAACAAGATTTCAGGAGTGCTAATAGAATGGAAACACTTTGAATCTATTCTATTCAAACAGCAAAGTTATAAAAATAAGTTTTATAAACAAAAAGTCATTCTTTCCCCAGCTCTAACCATCACCACTCCTCCCAAAAACAGTCTTCAACTTTGGCTCCAAAGCAAGACTTTGCTTTCTGTTCTGTTCTCCTGTGAGGGCTGAACCACACCCCACTTCCTAATTATTTCTGCAGCATGTACAGTTACAAAGGTTATTGTGACAGATGTAACTGACCTAAAGCTTTGAGTTTACTTAAGTCATTGGAGGTGAACCCTGAGAATCTGGAAAACTTGCAAGAGTTTAGCTTTATAATTTCTTCACACAGGGATGGAGCAAGAGGTTGTGATCAGTATGTTACACGCCTTACTTCCTGGGCGTGAAGGTGTTTATTCTGATTCCTTTCATGGGGTCCTGTTCCAAGGTTATCAACTGAGAAAATCATACATGACTATTATTGTTTAAGGACTTTCCACCACCCTCCCCAACCCCCGCTCCCTGGGCTAACTCTTCTGAAAGCACCTGCTGGGTGACATGGGAGGGAAGGTCATGAGAAAGTCAACAATGTGACAGCGATTTCCTGAGCCATCTTGATCTTATCCTTGAAGATGGATCACATTCTCCAGCTGAACCTGTTATAAATAGCAGTCAGCACGAGCTGGGTGGCATGAACAAGACTTAGCATAGGACTGACAGTTTTGATCTCTTTGTGGACTCTGCCTAGAAGCCAATTTCTAACCTGGGCTTTAGTGGACTCACATACTGTTGCTTGTCCCTACTACCCCCATCTCATGACTATCTTTTGCTTCTCCCAACGAGCTGAAATTCTTTCCAGCTTGAATTTCTGTAGTATGTGTTGCAGAAAAAGGTAGATTAAATAGGTTTTGCATTTTATTTAATATCATTTTTCAATGTATACTCAACCTTATTTGCCTTGACTCCCAAATAGTGTGCATCCTTTAGCATCTGGTGCCACCCCTTTCACGATGCACTGGCTCAGAGATTTTAGAATGTTTACAAAGTTCTATAGAACACCTGAGGGCCAAGTTCATTTAAGGGAAGTGTTGTCTATTCCAGGGTCGGCATAAAAGGAGCTAAACACTCAGGATGGAAAGAAACCCATCAGCAGCTTTCTCTAGTCATCATGTTTCCTATAAATGCAAGAGATCATCAGCCATCATAAAAGTAAGAAACAAATCCACAAGAGTCAGCATAGATAGACCAGAAGTTTCTCTCGTATGAATCCACTGGGTTAAAACTTCTGAAGAGCGTGAAAGATTGTTGTAACGTAGTATTTGATAGTGATATTGTAGACATGACTTATTTTTCATACAATAATGTGCTTCAAAAATGTCTCTAATGTTTAGCTAATAGAAGTATTAGAGTTTTGCAGGAATTGGAGAAGGTACAGTTAAATTGTACTTGATAATATCTGGACACATACAATGCGCTACATACTATTCAGAAGAGTAAATGTCTTGCTTTCATAGAGATTCAGTATTGTAGAAAACCAATCTAGCTTTAGTTAAAAGAAAAATAATAATAAACCAAGAAGAATCCTGAGATCCTTACTGACAATATCTTCAAAGGTACTTTTGTGTGGTTATAGGAATCTTTGATTGTATTGGAAACAGATATACATATACTGCTTCCCTGGTTACTAAGCAGTTAAGAATCCACCTGCAATGCAGGATACATGGGAGACATGGGTTTGATCCCTGGATTGGGAAGATCCCCTGGAGGCAGAAATGGCAACCCACTCCAGAATTCTTACCGAGAAAATTCCATGGACAGAGGAGCCCGGCAGGCTGCAGTCCATGAGGTCGCAGAGTTGGACACAACTGAGTGATTGAGAATGCATAAATATACTGGAATGAATTTCATTTATATTAAAATCCTATTAGGTTTTTTAGTATCAGGCAAAATATGTCCATGTTTTCATTTCATTATCTATAAAAAATAAGGAGTTAGGTGAACTTTCGGCTTCCTTCCAGATCCTATAATAATACATCCATTATTAAATGTTTCCAAAATTTATAGACCAAAGCGCATTATTTGACAGGAAAGTACTCATTATACCTCTGAAAGTTACTCACACACACATATTATGCTAATATACTTTAGCTGGGGGAGTCCTAGTTGTGAAGATTACTCACTTACTCCTTTTATAAGGACTTTGAGAAAGATCAGTATAGTTGCCAATAGCACATATATGTGGAGCATACACTGTATGTATGGCATTTAAGTGTATACAGGATGGATGATGGTGTTAAGTGGGTAGATGTTGTCCCTGGGTCTGAGAGCGTCCCACACTGCTGTTCTCCCAAGAAGAGCAGGATTTGCCCCAGCCCTGCCTCTGCCGGGCCAGTGCAGGATGGTGAGGGGACCCCACCCTCTGACCTTATCAGCTGCCTTCAACCTGGGGGAATGGTTAGTCCCAGTCCCATTGTTCAGGACTTCCTGATCCTACCGGTTCCCTCTGACTCACCAAACATGAAATCATAGCTGAGGAAGCTTCAAAGGGACCTGGGGAAACCCTTGACCCACACAGCTTAGATGACAAACTGGTGTCAACCATAACAAGACTATAAACAAAACCATGGATTTCTAGCAACAGCTTCACAGTGTAAAGACCTGCCCACCCCCCCAAATAAAGTTGAGTTTCCTTAGGCTGCTTCCCCAAGCCTTTCAGTCTAGACCCAGCCATTTCTTCAATCTGTACAAATATTAGGCGCCAACAATAACACAGACCTCAGAGTTCTCTGTATGCTTGTTTCTGTTTCCTTCAAATTTATGATGTCACTTGTCTAGCTTGCCTTCATCTCCCTGCTCCACCTGATGGAGCCTTCTCCTCCTGTGAAACCAGCTGAGATGCCAAGTGCTCTGTGAAGCCTTTCCAGAGAACCCTGTGTAGGGTTAGGCATGGCTTCTCTCTTACTTGCAGTTCGTATTGCCATCAAAATGCTTATTATAATTCATGGTTGACATGTTTTTCTCTGCCACCAGATTTCAGACTCCTCAAGGGAATGGTTTTTGTTTTATTTATCTCTGGATCCCAAGAATTTTCTGGTCCCTGAGGCTCAAAGTTTGTTTAATAAATGAATAAATTCTGGCTTCTGCCTCGAGGCAGAGTCATCTTTAACAGGAGAGTGTGTTGTGGAGTGAAGGGGGAGGGGACAGTGTGCAAGAGCAGTCAGCTTGAACCAAACTCGAGAGGTTCAGGGTGGGGCCCAGAGTGTGCCTAATTAGAGAGTCCAAGAGGCAAATTCCAGTTCATTGCACTTTCCATTAATTGTGCTCATAAAATTTAAATAATATGGAAGAAGTGGAAGTTGATGTCTTCTCACTAGATGTTTTGTTTCTCTGGTAAATTTTGGCGGAAGAATTGGGTGATAAAATGATCTGGTCAGCTGAGTAGTCACCCAGACCCAAGATGAGAGGACATCTTCTAGGAGGCCACAACTGTAACTGCAAAACAAAGCCAACCAAAGACCTAGGGCCCCTTCATCTACCTGGTCAGCTCCGGAGTAAGAAAAGAATGTATGGGAGAATGACGAGAAGCACTCTTCTCTCACCACCCACATGCACCTTTTAAGATGCTGCAGAACTGCACCCGGAAGAGGTGAGGAGGAAGTGAAGATGTGTTATTTAAAGTAATCTACTTGGCTGCCAGAAGAAACACCGCCTCAATCTCAGCGGCTTAACATAGTCACATTGCTGTTTCCCCTCGCGTCAAGAAAGGAGAATTGGGGAGAAGTCCATGTCCAGTGGGCAGCTCATGGCCAATAAAGGGAAAATTTTTAGAGCACAGGCCTGGAAATATCACACATCAATCCCCTCTCATTCATTGTCTACGCACTAAGTCGCTTCAGTCATGTCTGGCTCATGGTAACCCCATGGACTATAGGCCACCATGTTCCTCTGTCCATGGGGTTCTCCAGGGAAGAATACTAGAGTGGGTTGCCATTTCATTCTCCAGGGCATCCTCCTGGCCCAGGGATCGAACCCACGTCTCTTACATCTCCTGCATTGGCAGGCATGTTCTTTACCACTAGTACCACCTGGGCAAGCCTATTCATTGTTTAGAAAGCAATAAGAAGGACTTCTCCATCAGCAACAGGGCTGGTTAATGTAGTTTAGCTAATTCTGAAAAAAAAAAAAAAAAAGGTGAGAAAGACTGTGTGATATCACTTGTATGTGGAATCTAAAAAACACAGAAAACTAGGGAATATAACAAAAAAGAAGCAGACTCACAGATTTGGAGAACAAACTAGTGGCTTCCAGTGCATGTGTGTGCGTGTGTAAGGCAGCTGGGGTAATCTAAGCGTGGGGGAGTGTGAGGTACAAATTACTGGGTGTAAGATAAGCTCAAGGATGTATTGTGCAACAGGGGGAATATAGTCAATCTTTTGTAATAACTACAAATGGAAAGTAACCTTTAAAATCTGTATAAAACTCACCATGATGTTTATTTTAAATATTTTAGAGTTTTATCTGTCAATTAATTCTCAATAAAGCTAAAAAAAATTTAAAGTAAAAGACAATTTTAAAAATTAAAATATACTCCTAGTTAAAAAAGAGAAAAAGCAAAAATTCCCTAGCAGAAGGAAAGGAAAATAATCAAGAAGAAAAACAGAAGGGAAAAATCAAAATAAAGGGTGACATTTGGAAGGCACTCAGGAGAAGTCTGTACTCTCTAGGTCTATCTTAGATAAAGTGTCCTTTACCTTAGATCATCATATGGCTGAAGAATAGAATATATAAATATGGAACATATACATAAAGATGTATACCCATATACATATATGTTTCATCCTTCAGCTGTATGTGACTGTGTGTGTATATGTATATACATAAAGCAGAGATGGGGTCCAGAGTGTGAAAAAGAACGGAAGATATTCAAAAGCATATATTAAAAATATATTTATATCAGCTATATTCTCTCCTCTTAGCAAATTCTGGTTTCTTGTGATATTCAAATCATTTGGGCCTTGAACTTGATACACATCCCCAAACACATCATTTTCCTCCATTGCTGTTTGTTTAGGGGCACATACTGTGTTTTCTGACTATTCCAGTTAGGAAACAAAATAGTATTTCTAATGCATTCATCCCACCTCTTTACCTTTTCCCCCTTATCTTTCAGTCAAATGCTGGTATTTTTTTTAAGATCTAGCTAAGTGCTCTCAGCAACTTGTACTTCGTACTAGAGCACTTTTGAATGGTAACTGTTTTGTCTGCTTGTTTACTCTGCTACACATTTGCCCGAAGACCAGCTCATCCTGTAGATGCATAGAGCTCTTGGCAGATGAGTGAGCATGCCCATGTAAATTTCGGACTGAACAGAGTTTTTTTGGAGTGAAAGGGTGAAGTGTACGAATAGTTCTATGAAACAATAGGTTGAAACCAGCACTATCCCTGCAAAATAGGGACAGCTATGCTCTATAAACACATGTTGAATCAGAATAGAAGCTCTATTCTAACTCGCTTTTTTTTTGGTCTGATATTGCCTTGTCTGGTATTCCCATTACTCAGAACCATATCTGGCATAAACTTTGTGTGCAATAGAAATCCGTTGGCTAGATGAAGGAACAGGAGCAAAAAGATGAGGTAGTTCTATAAGTCCTAGTCTAAAAACCCTTTCACCAGTTTTTTTTTTCCTTATATTTTCATCCAATATGTTCCTTCAATAGCTTTGCCCATACTGTTTTTCCATACCTCTCTCAAGACACATCCCTTCTGATGCAATGTGCTGCTAAATCCTCAATTTGTTAAATAGGGAACTAAACTGCTACAGAGACCAAGCTATTTTGATTCGGGGGTTTCATCAAAGTGATTCAGGCATCTTCACATTGGGTCTGAGTCCCCGGCCCAAGAGCCTTCTTTCAACCATCCTAACATACCTCCTCTCCTAGACTAGGGCACAGCCATGGAGCAGTGGAAAGCAGAATACTTCTTGCTCCCATTAGCAGCTGTGTTAAGAGGGACGATGAGTGGGGGATGTGTGAGGCCATTACAATCAGAGGAAGAAGTGGAGAGGCCAATGGAATTGGGAAAGGCTGTACTGAATTAACTGAGTCATCACCCCACAGAACTGACTGTCAGAGAGGAGAGATTGTGTGTTTGGGGGAACGGGCTGGTGGGGGTAAGGGCGAGCTACTTTAGACTCTGGGAAGCACAGTGGAGGGATTGGGGAAGCAACTCTAGAAACATGGGGTGGATCATTTCTTAGACCAGGGTCAGGAAGGTCCCAGGGCTGAAGCTACCAGCCCCAGCAGGAAACCCCTCCTGAGAAGCGCACATCCTCCTCTCTTGGGCAGTTGTGACGCAGCAGGTGATCTTCGATGCCCTAATTAGCACTCTTGGTGTGACAGGGTGCCTCCCATTCTGAAATTTCCTTTCTGTGTTGTTTTACAGAAGATTTCACGGGAACGGACCGCAAACTCAGTTCCTCTTCCATTTTGTTGAAGATCAGCATATTAACAATTGTTCAGAAGCAAAATTTCATAAGCTTGGCTGTGGAAGAGTTATGATGCAAAAACAATCACAAAAGGCTTAGCCTTGCTGCTTTATTGACACAGCCTTCCTGTCCCCACATCTTGCTTCCTGTCAGGAAAGTGGGACGTGTTGGATGATTTCCCAGCTTCTCTTTGGAGAGGAAGTCTACAGGTTTTCCACCAACCAGCCCCGGCCAATCTACGCTCCCCGGGAACACCTGCAACTAAAGGCTATGCCCGTTCTCTTTTGTGTGTTTGCAGCTATCAAAATAAATGAGCCATCTTGGCTGGGAAATCACATCTCTTTCCAGAGTAACCTCACTCTCTACATGTGCACAAAGATGCATATGCCCTGATGGTAAGTGCATTGCCTATGACTAGAATTATAATTCAGGCATTCTGCATGTGAAGCCAATGTCAACACATGTCTCAATACAGCTTCCAAAATACCTCATGTACTAGCAGCTTTTCCCTAATGCAGCCCACTTCTTTTACACAGAGTAAACTCTTAAGCCCACATCATAATGGAACACAAGGGAATTTCCCACCTCCTCTGCTCATATGTCTCATTAATACAATACTAATAATTCTCGCTGAGTACAAGTCCTTTTCTCACTCACTCATTCACTCCCATTCCAAACACCTGTCTCAGGAGCCAGCATTTCTGCAGCCAGCATTCTCCTCACCCCCCTACCGATCCACCAGGACTCTAAAGTTTGTTCATATACCCTGGGATCTTAGGACAACTTTATGTTCAGCTTAAGGCCTGACTCGGGGATCCAGAGTGTGCTACGTTCTGCTCACATGGGTGTTCATCTATTACTTACTATGTGTAACCCTGGCTCTGAGAATTAGTCATTTGAATTCCTTGGATAGAGAAACGACAAAAACCACAAATCCACAGGCCAAAAACCTGATCACAAGATGAAAGGATCCCTGATATGTCACTAACGCTGATACAATACTAATCCGTCTGTGTTGGGGCATCTATAGCTGTGCTGGCGATGGTAACATAAGAGGAGTAGGTGTGACTATAACTAGATCTGTGGGCCTGAAGGCAGACTGTTCAGTGCTACAGGACTCAGCTCCACTCTGGAATTTCCTCAGACAATAATGGCTGGGTTTATAGTACACAGCTGTCCTTTCCTGGACTTCCTCACACACTAAAAGGGACCCCAAACCTAAAGTGACCATATCCTGTTCCATCAGTCACTCTCCAGGGATCTGTCACTTCCTTTAAAGTGACTCAGTGTCAGGAGATCAAAACCTTCAGATAACACCATTTCTAAGTGTCTTTTTCTGCTCACATTGACTTCATAGAATCATCCACCCCAGCATCCATCTCCTCTGAATCATTCTGAAGTTTTAAGTCTTCGGGCCAAATGTGCATGCCTTCACTATGGTTTTTAGGTTATTCTAAGAACTTTCTACTTGGAAAATGCCACATCTCCTTACGCTGATTTTTGCCATCTGTCCCCAGCTCACTTCTTTTCTGTTTAACTGAAGCCTATCAATTTTTCAAAGTCCTGACAGAAGCCTTCCTTTCAGAAAGGAAGTTCACATGAGTTTTCCTCTCCACAGAATCTCAGGAGTACTTACTACTTGCTGGACTTACTTGGCAGTGGTCATATTGTGCCTTTCATTGTGGGTCACTTTTTATACGTACAGATCTTGGTGCCAGCTAGATTGAAATTTTCCTCACAGGTCAACAATTTACCTTACAACAATTGGTATTTCCAACAGTCTAACACACACTGAGTCTCCTTTTAGGGTATCTTGAGTGATAGAACAATGGAAGTACCACTGGCTGGCCAGTGAACTGACCATTTTACACCAGATGTTAAGATTTGTGGCCACTATGAACAATATCCTTCAATCTTGACTCCCTCCTCTCACACCTGGAAACATCTAAAATGATTCCCTTCTCCTCTTTTGTTCCTTCATTTTAAGAACACAAAATATCTCTCACACAGAGCTCCCTTTACACATGTCCTTCATCCTATTTCCCCTACCTTCCTGCCACTACAATTCACTCTCTCCCATGAGTCTTTATTTCTCTTTAGTGTGTAAAACAGCCCTCCCTTGACACAAATTCCACTTATTCAGTGGACTTCCCACCTGCTTCAGCTTCTCAAGACTAGTCTCTATTTACTATTTCTTTATTTTTTTATTCTCAACCCTCTGCCACCAGGTCTCAGCCCTCCCACTCCACTAAACTTGCTCTGAGTTCAGTTCATCTTCATCTTGTACAATGGAATCAGCAGATGTGTATTGCTATCTTACTAGTCTACCATATCGGTCATTGTAGATATCTTTCTTCTTGAAATTACTTACTTGGATTCTTTATGCTCAACTCCTCTGTTTTGTTTTGTTTTCTTCTATTTCCCTAATAATTTTCCTCTTCAAATCTTGCATGGGCTTTTCTCCCTTGAAACTCCATAAATACTGTTGATGCCATCCAACCATCTCATCTCTGTTGTCCCCTTCTCCTCCTGCCCTCAATCTTTCCCAGCATCAGGGTCTTTTCAAATGAGTCAGCTCTCTGCATCAGGTGGCCAAAGTATTGGAGTTTCAGCTTCAACATCAGTCCCTCCAAGTCCTGGGTTGCATGTTGAGATTTGGGAGTTCGTTTTTCATAAATAACAATGAGTGGCACCATCCTCTAGCCATCATACAACTCAGAAACCATTGATCGATTCTAGATTCTTCCTCATCCCTCACCTTCAACAGCACATAAATTACTGACTGATGATTTCAGTAGCTACACAGGTCTTCAATCTGTGTTCCTTATTCCCACAGCCCTTTAAGCACTGCATGGATCAGACCATCGTTATGTTTCGACTAGATGACTAAAAAAACCTCTTACTTCTTGCGTCCAGTGCTGTTTTCCTGAAACCATGGCCACAACATGATAACAGCATTTTAAATTAAACACAAATCTGACAATGTTCTTGATATAAAGTCTTTCAGTGGCTCCTAATTCTGATCTGTAAAGTCCACCTTCTATAGAATGACATATAAAGCACTTTTAGTCCTGCTGACTCCTTTAGCCTCATCTATTACAAAGCCATTTGTACTTCAGGATTTATGTGCTTTGTTGATACTGCTCCCTTAGTGTAGCCTGTCTGTTTGGCTAATTCCTACATGTCTTTAACTCGTATCTAAAGCAACATAGCCAGTCTTTGTATTAGGGTTGCTACATTTTCCACAAAATATTAATAATCTATATGTGTGTCCAACTTATTATCTCCTAGACAAAGAACTTTGTCCTTTTTTTAATTTGCAATGCTTTGTATAGTACCTAATACAAAATAGGCACTTTATGTTTGTTTCAATGAATACATTAATGAACAAATAAATTAATGAATGAATAGAAATCATTGTTTTTCTCTTACTGTGAGCTATTTTTCAATAGTGTGCACAGGTTTATTTTCCTTAAAATCAAATATTATTTTAAAAAATACTATTAAATTCTATAACACTGCCCACTATTTGCTTTTCTAACTTCCCTTATCAAAATTTCCATCTATGTTTGTCTAATGCAAAATGTAAAATGTCATTGCATATAGTTACTAGTAGTTGCATGATTTATGTTAGAATTAGCTGCATGTTACAGAAAAAGACAAGGTAATAGTGACTTAAGAACAATAGAAATTTCTTTTCATCTCAAGATTAAAGAACTCCAAAAGAGGCAGTCTAAGACTGATACAGCCAGGTCCAAGTTCATGAGGCATCCAGGTTCCTCTTATCTCCCTGCTATTTGCTGCATTGCCTCATAGCCCAAGATGACTTTGGAAATTTGGCCATCATATCTACATTCCAGATAGCAGGAAGAAGGAAGGTGAGTCGGGTGTGCCTCTCCCCTTTGCGATCGCTTCCTGCAAACCCCATATAACGCATTCACTCACCTCCCACACTAGCAGTCAAGGCAATTGCAAAATAAAGCTTTTGCTTGTGTTCTTATCTGCAGCTTTCCTTTTTTTATTAATGGCAATGTGAGAAGCAAAAATGTGGGTTTTGTCCTTAAGGAAAAGAGGGAGTAGATGATGATGTAGGCGACCAAGTCTTTACCACACTTTAACCTGAATATGTGGAAAACAGAGAAATCTCAGAAGTATCATATTGGCAAGCAGAAGAAACATGCTGAAGGATGATCTGGCAGGATCATTATCTAGCTGGTGAGTCTAAAATGAAACCAAGAGCAAATTAACCAAGCGAAGCTGCATATCTATCTGACCTTATAGAACTGAGAGCTGGATTCTGAAACAAGAAAATGTAGTGTTGTCTTTCTGTCATTATTCAAATTCTCTATAACAAATATCAATTAAGGCAGATGATGTACATATTCTGATTATATATACCCCTATGAAATGTTGGTATTTTAAAGATAAGGAAATCCATTTACATGGTCAACTTGTTTGACCTAGCCCATACTTTACACCAATGCTGCTCAAACTTAATTGTGCATAGGAATTACCTAATACCTTGCTAAAATGCAGATTCTAACTCAATAGGTCTCAGGGGAAGTCAAAGTTCTGTTGTACTTTAAGAAGCAAGGCTTTGAAAGTCTCAGCACATGTCAGTCAATATGTTATTTCAAGTTTCCAGTGACACAGCTGCCAAGTTGTGCAAGATATGAGCAAGAGATTTATGGAAAACCCTGGGGAGAGAAGGGAAGAACCAGAGAGGGCAGAAGAGTTCTCAAATTGCAATGAAATTTTGACTTGGTTAAGAAAGAGAGTAGGAGGGAAGAGTATGTTGGAGGAGCATCATTTTACAGTTGCCTATGTGGAAAACTGAGCCAGATATGCCCATCAGAGTCCTATGTTCACAGGATTGTTCTTGCACTAGTATTCCAGCCATGGTTAGTCATCAGCTAGGAACAGTTTGCAGGAAGTATGGTGGACATAAAGGTGTGGCAGCTGGGGCTGTTAATTATATTCCATGCTGCAGGCAAGCTGAATGCTACATTCTAAACAGTTGCTACAATCCATATTTTCACCTTTGTAAGTGCAGTACACTGAATATATTTAATGTTTGTTTGAGATCCTTGCCGTATTTGAGAATGTTTATTACAAATGCTAATTTTTCAACATGTGATAATAGTACATGGTATAGAGTAACTTCAGTATATATGATATTGAAAAAAAAATATTGAAGATGAAATAACTATAGCAGTAAAGAATAAACTGGTATGGGACCCAAGACACACCATGGAATTTGCATGGCCAGGGAGGATAAATTATTCATGACCTATTTTCTTGGTGTTTGCTTCTTTTGATTGCAACAAATATTATCCAATTTTAGGTTCCAGTTAGTTGATGTTTGATTGTAATTAGTTTAAAAATTTGGAGTCATTTCCTCTAAAGAGACCATGGAAAAAATAGTTTAATGGAAATAAATTAACCATCATGAAATTTATATAACCCACTCATATGTACTTTGAACACTGAATATAATTACACAATAATTTTGCTTTAAAATTAAATCATTTGGCACATTTCTGTAGAATGAAATTAGCAAAGCCCAACTTAATTTGTACAAGGCACCAACATTATTTACTGTCAGGGGGAAAAAAGGCCCTAGGAGATAAAGATTAAAACAGATCTATTGGAATTTTATTTAGATTCATTTTCAATAGAGTTCATAAAATTATGAGTCAAATATGACTTTCTGAATTTGTAAAATTTACAAATTTTGACATGAAAGGACATTATGCCCTTTTATGAGTTTGGGGTTCAAATTTTCTCTAGTTTTTTTCTCCCTATCAGAATTAAGAGTCAAGTAACTTATGTCTTTATCATATAAATACTGATATAACTTGGTGCTTCTTATCTATTAGCTACTGGCAGAATTCATAGAAATTCCTACCATGTTTTACAGTAGATAGTGTTCAACAGTTTGGGTGATTTATGGAGAGGGGAGAAGATGGAGAAGCTCTACACAGTTAGCAAAAACAAGACCGGGAGCTGACTGTGGCTCAGATCGTGAACTCCTTATTGCAAAATTCAGACTTAAATTGAAGAAAGTAGGGAAAACCACTAGACTATTCATGTATGACTTAAATCAATTTCCTTACAATTATACAATGAAAGTGACAAATAGATGCAAGGGATTAGATCTGATAGACAGAGTGCCTGAAGAACTATCAATGAAGATTCATAACATTGTACAGGAGGTGGTAATCAAAACCATCCCCAAGAAAAAGAAATGCAAATAGCCAAAATGATTGTCTGAGGAGGCCTCGCAAATAGCTGAGAAAAGAAGAGAAGCTACAGACAAAGGAGAAAAGGAAAGACATACCCATCTGAATGCAGAGTTCCAAAGAGTAGCCAGGAGAGAAAAGAAAGCCTTCCTAAGTGAACAATGCTAAGAAATAGAGGAAAACAATAGAATGGGAAAGACTAGAGATCTCTTCAAGAGAATTAGAGATACCAAGGGAACATCTCATGCAACAGTAGGCACAATAAAGGACAGAAACAGTATGGACCTAACAGAAGCAGAAGATATTAAGAAGAGTGGAAAACATACACAGAAGAAATATACAAGAAAGATCTTAATGATGCAGATAAACACAATGGGTGTGATCACTCACTTAGAGCCAGACACCTTGGAGNTGAAAGTGAAAGAGTAGAGTGAAAAAGTTGACTTAAAACTCAACATTCAGTGAATGAAGATCATGGCATCCAGTCCCATCACTTCATGGCAAATAGATGTAGAAACAAGGCAAACAGTGAGAGACTATTTTTTTGGTTTCCAAAATCACTGCAGATGGTGACTGCAGCCATGAAATTAAAAGATGCTTGCTCCTTGGAAGAAAAACTATGACAAAGCTAGACAGTGTATTAAAAAGCAGAAACATTACTTTGCTGACAAGGGTCCATCTTGTCAAATCTATGGTTTTTCCAGTAGTCATATATGGATGTGGGAATTGGACCATAAAGAAAGCTGAGTGCCGAAGAAATTGATACTTTTGAAGTGTGGTGCTGGAAAAGACTCTTGTGAGTTCCTTGAACTGCAAGGAGATCAAATCAGTCAATCCTCAAGGAAATCAGTCCTGAATATTCATTGGAAGGACTGGGGCTGAAGCTGAAGCTCCGATATTTTGCCACCTGATGTAAAGAGCTAACTCTTCAGAAAAGACCCTGATGCTGGGAAAGATTGAAGGCAGGAAGAGAAGGCAATGACAGAGGATGAAAAGGTTGGCCACCTGATGTAAAGAGCTAACTCTTCAGAAAAGACCCTGATGCTGGGAAAGATTGAAGGCAGGAAGAGAAGGCAATGACAGAGGACGAAAAGGTTGGATGCCATCACCAATTCAATGGACATGAGCTTGCTGCAGGAGATGGTGAAGGACAGGGAAGACTGGCATACTGCACTCCATGGGGTCACAAAGAGTCAGACAGGACTGAGTGACCGAACAACAATGGGGGAGGGGAGGATTCTGCCACACCCTAATAAAGAATCAACTTCAACAGCAATCATCATGTTATTTTCATCATCATTCCTCTACAGCTAAAAGCATCACTCATTCATTCTTTGATTCAATAAATCATTACTGAGTTGGCTTAGGACAAATCACTCTGGTCAGTTCTATTGGGCATTGAAGAATAAGTTAAGCTTACAGCATACTTTCAAAATACTTTGGAATATATAAATGGTATGGGAATTTGAATAAGTTACCCCATGTTACTTTCTCTGTGACCCTTTAATAAGCAGGCTTATTATTCCAAGTAAGTGAAAAAGGCAATGGTATGGAAGTTCTATGGCAATAAGATCTGTGTTTCGCCTGTTTGATTTTGAGTTCAGAAGAGAAAAGGGTAGTTTCCTTAGTGGGGTAATCAAATTTCTCAAAGAGGTTGCATTTGACTTTGGAGTGGAAGAGTAGTTAGCATTTCAATGAATGAAAATGACATAACAGATACCCAAGACTAAGGGAATGGCAAGATAAAAGACCTGAAGAGGGAAAAACACAGCCAGACTTCCAGAAATAATGAGTATTCTGGATGGTTTATGTAGTAGAATAATAAATATAAGGAATAAGAAAACTTAGATCAAGCTTTAGAGGGCTTTGAATTACATGCTGAGAAATTTGAACAGAAATCTCATAAGCAATGGGGAAATGTTTCATGTTTCCAAAGAGGGAGCTGATATAATTCTGTAGGGTTGATCTAGTCATAGTATGTGGCATTTATTAGATAAGATAGAGTATATAAATTTGTTGGTTTTCAGAAAATTAACTTTTCCAGTGGCTATTGTAGGGAACCAGTGAGGTAACCCACAAGAGATGACATGACAAGAAATATTTCTGGGAATTACTAAAAATGCAGTGGATGGAATCTGCTTGTTTTGCATATTTCTCAAAAAAAAAAAAAAAAGAAAAGTGGGAATTGAAAAGCAAGAAAGTTGCAGTGATATCAGACTGGAAGTTGGCATTGCAGACAGGGAGGAGGTCAGAGAGGCAGGGGAGTCTGGAGTCTGTTTTGTTATAAGGACAGCAGGGAAGTGGCTGACCACCTCTGGGACCATCCTTTCTGCTTTGTCTTTCACAATCCCTTTCTCTCTCTCTCACTAAATCTGCAGACATACTAGACAGTTTTCACAGGAGTAAAATTCTTTCTCCTGACCCAGGATTTTGGAGTCAATTATACATGAACTTGAGCCCCAACTCTCAGTTATCACTAGCTGTGTTGTCTTGGGCAGCTTACTTGACCTCCCTGATTCTCAGCTGTATGGTAACTCATATGGAGGTAACAAAAATAATTCACCTCATGAAAGTATTTCAATGAGTAAATGCATATAACACATTTATGAGAAAGTCTGATATGTTCTAAGTACCCAATTGTTTATTATCATTCTCAGATAAATCAAGCTTTGATCTTTACCTCACTCATTCCTTCTTGCTATTAAAATGCTGAAGAAATTCTTATTCCTCCATTTTTTTGGCACTTAGACACTCCTCAGAATACAATCTATCACAGCATGCTGAAACTATTGTTTCGAAGGTAACCCAAAGCACAAAGTAAGCAGAGGCAGCAACCTACGCTTTGTCCTCAACCTCTTCAATCTCAATCGTTCTCCTTTGATCCCCTCCATACAACAACTCCTCTCTCTGTGATGTACTCTCTAGGTTCTACTCTAATCTCTCTGGCTGCCTTTTACCTAATTTCTTTCTGGTTTCTCTTCCAGGTCAATAAATGTAGGTGTTTCCCACGCTCTGCCCTTGACTCCTATTCTTGCTTCATGATCACATTCCTCTCCCATGGCTGAAGCAATCCTTTCTAGCTGATACCTCCTGAATCTGCACCTCTAGTCTTGGTCACTATCCTAAGCTCCAGTGCTATATTCCAACACCCATGTCTAGATATCCTGTGTCACTATACACTCAAGTTCAAATCCCAATTCAATTTATGCCTGAACACAAGCTTCCAACCTTCTCACTTCTACTAGTGACACTTTTCTTTAACTAGGCAACCAGAGGAGAAACATTAAAATAATAAATTCCAGTTTTCCCCCTTTCCCTTCAACTTAGGTAGTTTTCAAATCACATGTCCCTTCAGTGTCTCCCACGTTCATTTACAAGAGCTAACCCTCTATTTAAGGTCTTAGTTACTTCCCACTTAGAATACTGCTTAGTAAAAGCCAGACTTACTCTCTGCCTCCATTATTTGACCCTTCCAAACTTTCCTAACAACAGTTGGCCTGTGAATACCCAAATGCAACTCTGAAAGAGATCTGTTTTCATCACTGTTGACTTTTTAAGCTAAAACTACTTTTCATTAATAACTCTGTCATTCATAACATATACTCACAAATTAACTATGCCTATGTGTTGTCTTGTCTTTCCACTAAAATTGAGCTCATTAAAGTTAAATCATATTATAGAGTTGCAGCCACTCATACTAGGGGCAATACCTTGAACACAGCAAGCACATGGTAAGTGCTTGCTGAATTAATTGTGGACTGAACAATGGCATGCTCCTGCTCAAAAAGCCTCAATGATTCCACATTTCTTGTCAAGTAAGATAAAAGTCTTTAATACTTTCTACACTGTAAGCCCAATCTATCTTTCCTAATTCTCCAGTTTACTTCCTTTTTTGTACTATACTATGAACTGAATTGTGTCCCCTTTCCAGTTTACTTCCTTTTTTGTACTATGGTCCTATGAACTGAACTGTGTCCCCTGTAAAATTTGTATATTGAAGCCCTTACTACCAATGTGATGGTATTTGGTGATCAGGTCTTTGGGAGGCAATCAGGATTAGATGAGGTCATTTGGGTGAGGCCCTTGTGATGAGATTTGTGATTTTATAAACATGAGAAGAGAGAGATCCTGTCTCTCTGCCGTGTGAAGACATAATATAAGAAGGCAGTCATCAGCAAGCCAGAAGGAGGGCCCCACCAAGGAACTAAATCTACTAGCACCTTGACCTTGAACTCCCCATCCTTCAAAATGGTGGGAAAATAAACTTCTGTTGTAAGACAGCAATTGTGTGGCAGCCTGAACACGTGGATTCCAGCAAAACTGAAATATTTGTGTCCTGCACATTCCTTACCTTTCCTATGATACTCCCTAAGTTCAGAGTACCCTTTCCTTCTCTTTCTATGACTATATCCTATCTAGCTCAAAGGCCACCTTCTCATTTGAGCCTTCCCTGATCTCTCCTTCATTACAGTTATTTCTCTACACTCTGAAATTTCTCACCAATTAGCCCTCTCTTTTCACTGAAGCATATTCTATGTACATGATAGTTGCTGTGTACTTGTCTACTTGACTGTGAACCTGCTGGCCACAAGGACTGTGTCAGATTCATCTCATATCCCATAGTACTGAGTACAGAACATGAAACCTTGAGGAAATGTAATTCATATTATGATGTTGTAGCTGAGTAGAGATTCAAGTGCAGTCAGGGGTTGTCAAGATACAGCACTTGAAAAGCTGGAATCTATACTTGCATGAATGGAAAACTAGAGATATAACAGAAGCTGGAGGCAGATTTACAAGAGACAGAGCAGAAGAGAGTTTTAGAAATGAAGAGTGATAAGGGTATAAACGGTCCTTACAGATCTCAAAAGAAGAACTTTGAGGTAATAGTTGGGTTTCAATGGTCTGAGAGAACAGGAGGAGTGAGAAATGGATGAGCCCGTTATTCTAGCTCATTGTTATTCTCCCTGTTATTCTCCCTCATTTGATACAGAAAATGAGGGAAGAACTCTACAGCATGCGATAAGACAGTGTTTCCTATCAAGGCAACCAGGTAAGGAAAATAAAGCCCGTAATTAGATAGTCATTTTGCAAAGAAGAGAAAAGACAGGTAAAGGACTAGACATGACAGAAGTGGATGCTTGGTGAAAGGGGAGGGGGACAAGACTAAATTAAGTTGGGGTCTGAAAGAAAGAGGGGCGGTGGGTCCACACTGTGTATAGCAAAAGTTGTGAATCAAAGGGAAGGAGAAATTGGCAGGAGTTAGAGGGACACTTGGAGTGTAGCCCTGGGTAGGTGCTGTCTTGTACCAAATAAGAGGAAAAACAGACAGGCAGCGCACACTGCCCAGAAGAGGTGAGGCCAGCCCTCATGCTTCAGGCAGTGTTCTGCAAGTAATGGTGACTCCCAGCCTCACCCATCCTTTCCTACTCACAATGCTGAATCCGCATCTCTGCTTTCCTAGTGCCAGTCACAGACTGCTAATTACCTTCTGGATGTGTCCACTTGGATTTGCTTCCAACACTTCAGACTCAGTATACCCCAAACCAAACTCCTCTATTTCTGTCCCTAATCCAATCACTTGCTTGTCCTCAAATTTTTTTTTTCCATTATTGCCTCTATTTTCCTGGCCACAGGACTTCAAAAATCTGACATTTTACAGCTTACCACACGGTGGAAAAATGACCACCTGTTGACAACTTGGTTTCAGCCAAATTATACTGATTTCTGATCTCTGGAAAATCAGAGAATACCTTGCTAATGCTTTAGGACACCCAGTTTGTGGTAATGTGTTATAGTGACCATGGGAAGCCAGCACAAATGGCCTCCCTCATCACACACACAGTTACTGAGCTCTATGAACTGGCAGGTCTGCAAAGCAGAGATCACTCTGGCTCTCCCACTTAACAGGTTTAAGAATTGAGCAAGTGACTTAACTTTTTAAATCCTCATTTTCCCCATCTGTAATAAAGTAAGATTTGAGAGCATATTTTGGGAACTGAGATAATACATATAAAGCACTAGATGATCAATAAATATTGATAGATCATAGTGAAAGAAAGTGAAAGTGTTAGTCACTCGGTTGTGTCCAATTCTTTGCGACCCCATGAACTGTTTGACTCTTTGTGACCCACCAGGCTCCTCTGTCCATGGAATCATCTGGGCAAGAATACTGGAGTGGGTAGCCATTCACTTCTCCAGAGAATCTTCCTGACCCAGGGATCGAACCTGGGTCTCACACATTGCAGGCAGATTCTTTATCATCTGAGCCAGTAGGGAAGTGCCCTGATCGAATGTATTTATTAATAAATATTGACAGATATAATTATCATTATAATCTGTGAAAAGGTCTTTGTCCTTTTGTTCACTCATCCTTCTAATCCACTGGTCTTAAGACTCTGTATTACTCATCCCAGAATGGTTCTGGGACCTCGAAATCCCCTCCTCAGCCTCTTTGAGTATTCCCCTAGAACTCAATGAGGAAAAAGTGAAACTCCGCAGCGTGACATTGGAGTCTTTCCAGAGTGAACAGTGTTGGGGTTCTGCCAGATCCCCTTTATAAGACTGTGTGCCATACTCAGCTACTGAGTACTTTCTCTCTGCTCATTGTTGGCAGGCAGCCCTTCTCTGGAGAATGGCTTTCAGGCCAATGTGAGCCCTAGAGGTGAGGTCCGCACTCCTCAGAACAGCCCACAGTCAGCAGAGTAAAGGGAGACAAAGGCTGCTGCCATTTGCTTCAAGGTGGGACCAACCCCCCAGACTCCAAGCTCTAGCTGTAGCCAGTCTCCAGCTGAGGCCATGTTGGTGAGGAGCACCTTCCTAAGATGAATCCTCCCACCCCACTCCCTTCCTCCTGACAGCACACCCATCATCACAGATGCTAATCCCTGCTTCAGACTTTGCTTTGGAAACGTGATCAGAATCATCCCTTTAATGTGTCCCCAAACTGACTAGCCTTCTTTCTTCTCTTTTTCCCCTATAGAAACCCAAATCCCAGATCACTGGAGCCCAGAAGCACCTTTTGATCTCTAACTCATCTTTTGAGATACCCCTTCCTTGACCTCTCTACTCTAGATGATACACAGAGTTCAAGCTCTACCATGAGATTGTCCTGGGAAACCCTATTTTTGCAATTTTTTCCTTATCTTCTGAATTTCTGTAGTGTGTGTTTACTGTACCATTTATTTGGCAACAATTCAAATACTTTCATCCTTCCAACAAAAAGAGGGAGACAATAATATTTATCTGGAAGGTTTGCTGTGGGCATTTAAATAAAGTGTATATAAAACTCATGGTGTAGTACTTGGCTCAGTGAAAGCTCACATCAAGCTATGGTTCTGATATCTGACCTCTAGAAAACATCTCTACTCCTCTCCCTCTAAGCTCTTTGTTTCTTCCCAAGAATAAGTGAGAAACTGGAACACTAATTTGAATCTGTTTGTAGGAGAAACACTGGCCACTGGGTTTCTATCTCTGCCATGCGGTCACCCCATAGGTGTCCAGTTGAATATATGATTTGAGTGGGCTGTGGACAAAAAGAGGTAATGTCCCTGAGTCCAGTTTATTAAAAGATGTTTCTGAGGCATCAAGGTATCTCAGTTATCCAAAAAAAGGTACTTAGTTTCCTATTTGTCAAAATTACCTGGCATCTCATATAAGCACTAGATAGAGTTGAGGGAAAATACTTAATAAGCCTAAAACATCCACATTAAATTTCCACTAAGATGTACCTCATTCAGAAGATAAAGGGAAATACATTTTTGGCTAAAGGCCCAGTCTAAGAACTTTGTAAAATCGAATGCAGTGTTTAAATAAACTCTGAAAGAGCATCAACTTCTGATTTAAGGTGGAAAGTCCCATACGTCATTCCTTGTCAGTCAGCATTTTTAAAAGTATCCTTATATTGTGTTTCAGTTCTATTAAAAAATGTAAGATCATATCAACAGCCTGAATTCTGTGAAAGCCAACAGGAGGTGCAGACAAAAGATGGGGTGGGGCAAGGAAAAGGATAAGTTTTTTCCTAAGGTTGATTTGTTTTACATCTTCTGTCACCCATTTCAAAGGAGGTGCATGTTTGATATGTTTGGATTTTTTGTTTCAAAGACCTGATTTAATACTTTTGCAGTAAGACTGTGACATATCATTTAAGGACAGAACTGGAATAGATGGAAAAAATTCAAACGTCATCCTAAGAAAATAGACCAGCTCACACACACCATTTTATAATGTCCTTTATGTTCTATACTCAAAGAAAATTTAAAAAGCATGCTTTGTTTTCTAAGAAACTATTAGTCCATGATGTTTATTTCCAAGTCTCTGTTTATATCTTTCTTCTGCTAGGAATGTTTTTCTGGTATCATCACAAGTAAGGGTCTATCCATGCTTCACAGCCTGGTTTGCACACCACCTCCTTTATTTGAGACTTCCCTGCTACTCCCCAGCTATAAATTGCCTCCTTCCTCTGAGTCCTTACAGGGCTTGACCAATTCCTAATCTGAGGCGCCTTCCCAGATTGGCTGGATGGCTTCTCTGGCCTCTCACCACTTTTGCCTTGTAAGCCTCTTTTCTCCATATGAAAATATCAAAAATTATACTTTATAGCTGCATTAGTATAAAGAAAAATGTAATCTGGGCTGGACTCTTCATTGTATATCCATTATTATGATGATGTTCATTTTTTAGCTTTGATTTTTTTTTTACTTAGACATTTTGCTTTACCCCTAAATGTATCATGGACCATGCCGCCCGTCTCTTATGGGTTCATTGGCCCCTACCTTCCACTCAGACTCATGTCATAATTATTTTGGTATTTAGTCAAAGCTATGGTTTTTCCAGTAGTCATGTATGGATGTGAGAGTTGGACCATAAAGAAGGCTGAACACTGAAGAATTGATGCTTTTGAACTGTGGTGTTGGAGAAGACTCTTGAGAGTCCCTTGGACTGCAAGGAGATCCTAAAGGAAATCAATCCTGAATACTCATTGGAATGCTGAAGTTGAAGCTCCAATATTTTGGCTACCTGACGCAAAGAACTGACTCATTGGAAAAGACCCTGATTTGGGGAAAGATTGAAGGCAGGAGGAGAAGGGGACAACAGAGGATGAGATGGCTAGATGGCATCACTGACTCAGTGGACATGAGTTTGAGCAAGCTCTGGGAGATAGTGAAGGACAGGGAAGCCTGGAGTGCTGCAGTCCATCGGGTTGGACACAACTGAGCAATTGGACAACAGCAACTCCCAGGCAAAAAGCTTTAGGTCAGAAACTCAAGAACCCCTTGAGAGTAGGTATCAGAAAACATAATCTTCTAGGGTCTCCAGAGAAAGAACTCTTAAGAATCTGTTTAGCCCTATATTTACTGAGGCAGGGAGGCCACCTGTCTTTGGTATGACTAACTATGATTCCTACTTTTTTCCAGTGATAAAGCTGCAGTATTATTGTTAGGCCTAAATGTTCCTATTTTTAATGAAGTATAAGGGAACAAAGTTAGAACAGACTAGTGATGGAGAACCCTGGAGACATGTTTCCATTTTCAAAGTTTCCTTTGTTGATTAGTAAGTACTTTGTTTTTTAGAAAAGCGGTAGGAGTGTGTGCGTGTGTGTGTGTGTGTGTGTGTGTGTGTGTGTGTGTGTGTATGCATATATACCCACATATGCACAAAAACAATCTAAAAGGAACCTGGAAAATAAGGCTTTTCTATACTTCAATCCTAGTACATTGGATTAACCAACTTTAGACTATAACTTAAAATTGTAAACCCCTGTTTGTAATTGCTTATAAGCCTATAGTCCTGTGCATATTAGTGAAATCTGTATTTTCAGTGTTTCAATCATCCCCCTGCTCTGCCCCTAAAATTCTAAAGTTGAGAGATTTAAAAATGAACACTGCAAAAAGGTAGTGCAATTAACAATGTTTTTGAACTTCATTGGGTTTTGATGTGAGCCATTTTCCAGACTAACTTGTTTTCTCTAACTGTTCTCATGGTCAAGGTTGCATCCAGCATAAATCAGTCAGACTCCTGTTCTTGAAAGAGCAGGCACATACCCTGATCGCTTTTAAGATGTTTTTCCAGCCAAGGCAGATGTCTGGCAGAAAGCACTTAATTCTGAGGGCATTGTTACAGGGCTCAACAAATAAAACTCCCTCGGCACACAATATCTCCTAAAAGTTCCCAGAGTTTTGAAAGCAGTGATTTTTTTGTCTGTGGCAGTGTCAGATGGTTTTTTCCAATGTCCCTCTATTGTGAACTTTCCTAATGGTATTTGCAGCAAATGTTTGGAGAAGTGGTGTTGTGAGGAATAGTTGAGCTGTTTGGATTGCTGTTTGTTAGGGAGAGCTACTGAGCATATCTTAGTTACTTTTAAGTTCCTTTATTTCCTCTCAGTGGGGTGCATCCAGGGCTAGCTGGGTGAAGGGTAGGGGCCTTTCATCATTGTTCTCCATCAGGACCTCACTTACTACTCCGTCAAATTAAAAAAATATAATAAAGCTCTTGATGGGGACAATTGTCATTTTCCCATACGTACATACAGCCTGCATAAAAACATCTTTAGAAACTTTGTGGTTGTTTTTATTGCTCTGTAACAATTGAGTTAAAAACACAATGGCCAAACACAAGCTGCTCCAAAATCTAGTCCCTCTGGAATCACTCGCACAGATGGCTGCCTGGACGAGAACCCATCCACTCCGATATAAAGAGGTGGTGTCCTCACTGCTTCTGGTCACCTTCCCCCTCAAACCATAGGTTACTGACACTGTTCTTTCATCTAGAGAATGACATCGAACACAACTAAAACAAAAATCACACATCCAGAAACACCCACCTTCCGAGGTGTCTGATACTTTCAGAGAATAAAAATTAAAAAAAACCACAAGCTTCAGAGAGTAATAAAATTTGCCTATAAATAATCCCGATTAGGTAACAGCTAGTTTTCCCTGTGTTTGAAGTGTCGGATTTCTTCAGAGGGACTTTCCCAAGTCCAGAGGGACTCACGCTGAGCTGCGCTCATTCCTTTGGAATGTGACCCAGGTAGCTGCCCAAGCTGCTCTCCACGGGCATTCGGAGCTCTCATCTTCAATCAGTAACAGAGGACAGTCTTCCCTACTCATTGGCCCTGTGATTGCAAGCCCAGCATGAGTCAGCAATATGGGCTGTTCAAAGAGAAACTGGCCTGATGCTGGGGTGTGGAGTGTGAGGGGGTAGGGAGGGGAGAACAAAATAATCCCCAGTGCACTCTGCCTGGTTCACCCATCCTGGGCGACTCGCCCGATGCTGGGCCCCCAGTTCCAGATAGGACTGCCTGATGAAACACAGAACACCTAGTTACATTTGAGTTTTAGGTGAACAGCAAGCAATCATCAGTAGGGTATGAAGACATCTATCTTTTAAATATTATTTCTTCTCTGAAGGCTCCCTGAGTCCCTCAGTTCTAGGTCCAAGGATCGATGATTATAGCAACAACCAGCATTTATAAAGAGCTTTCCACTTTTCAGACTACTTTCTTCACCTTCATTAGCTTACTTTTTACTTTATCCTCACTACATTCCTGAAGATTGATATTATTATGGCCCCTCGATTGATAATACCAGAGGCTCACTTGAATTAAGTCATTTAATATGTACTCATCCAAATAAATATCAAGTTTAGGATGTAAAGCTCTGATATCAACTACGCTACCTCCCCAACATACTTTGTATCTGCATTTTTATAATAGAGTTTATAAAATTCTCCCAGATACTCCACTTATTTACCTTGCTTATCTAGGTTTTGAGTTTTGTGAGGCTGGAGATGGGTTCTTGTTTAATTTTACTAGGCTCACAGTGTCCTTGATGTTCAACAAAATGTCCTATTGATTCTAACTGGATCGCCAACACCTACTATTTTAGATTAGACAAGATCACCTTCAATCCATTTTGTTCACCACATTGTTAAAAGGTAGAAGATAGCCATAACTCTGTTCTACATATTTGCTCAAGGAAACATGGTGAATTATTGCAGACATTGAGAATGGAGTATAGGGCTTCTTTTCTCTTTGTGGTTTTATTATTATTACCTATTAGGAGGCCTCAGGACTCTCCATCTTCTAGAAATAGTATGAGAGAAAGGATATGTGTGACATACCAAAGGCTGTCTGAAAGAAGGGTGCTTTTAAAGTGTATACTAATCTGATATCTCAGCCTTGGCTTGCTGAAACTGGTGATGTGTTCACCAGTGATGTGTTACTAAGTCTCTTAAAATGAACATGAAAAATTC